GGTAGCAGAATACAACAATTACTAATAGGGCATTATGTAAAATTGTGGATGTGTAACCGACGTGATTCTGCAATCTGCATTTGGGGTAAAATTGGGATTTCATAACCCACTTCTATCTAATGTATGAAATATGATATGTCAAGAGCTTTGTAATGTTGTGAACACCCAATAAAAAAAAAAGAGAGTGTTGGTACCCTGAGGAATAAGAGGCAGTTGGGATGAAGAGAAAGGAAAAGAAAGAATAGGAGAAAAAGCATGCCCTCTTGATCAATGTTGGGTTGTTTTCAAAATTTCTATTATCGAAGATATCTCAGAACCCCTCAGAATTAGCTAATTTCTCCTTCCCACAAAGTCCCAGACTGTGTACCAATTAAATGCAAGTATTTTCTGACTTTTATTCCCTTTCACTGAGATTTAATCTTTATATGAATTTTTTATGTGTTTATGGATAACATGGATAAGTTCTTTTAGACCCATTATGATGGAACTTTCACGTCCTCTTTTAATCTCTATATAAATATACTTTGTACGTTATATATGTGTATTGTATGTGTGTATATGTGTGTGTGTGTGTGTGTGTGTGTGTGTGTGTGAGTTTATAGTTTCAAAATCAACAGGGTTAGTGTCTGTGGGATGATGGGAAATGTTTTCCAGTAGGGCTACATTTACTCAGGTAATCAGACATTAGTAGATTTTGTTTCTATAAAGAATGCAAGAAAATAATAGTAAAGAACAAAGTCATAATACTACCTGGAAAAATGCATGTCTTTAAATTCTCTTTTCCAGTTTTATTTCAAAAATATTCTCAGATTCTTGAAGAAAAGAAGTATCCAAATTCTACAAAAGAACCAATCCACCCAGAATTGTTCAAGACACTATTCAACCATGAAAGGTAAAATTTAATGAGTAGAATTTAGTAAGGATCCTAAATTAATATTTACAATAAGATTTCCAGGTTTATAATATTAAAAAAGGGAATTTCATGATCATTCTCAACTACATGTATAGAATGTTATAGGACCTAAAAATCTTATATGTATATTTTAAGTTGCTCATTGGAGGTTTGACTATGAAAAAGGACATATTGCCTTTACATCTCTTTAGCTTTAGTTTCTTTCTGAAGTTTCTGTGCACACTTACTTTTTCCTCTCACATTTTTTATGAGTATTTTTATTAATGAACTCATTTATTTGAAACATTAAAATATGCAAATAAAAATGTATTTTTAATGACATTTTATTTTTTGAGTATTTTACTCACATTTTATGTTCATTTTTCAATGAACATTTTTACATTTACAGAAAAATTGAGCAGACAATATGAATAGGTCCTATTTGAACCCTACCTTGTATATACAATATTCCCTATTTATTACCACCTTATATGAGTGAGGGCATTCGTTATAATTAATGAGCCAATATTGATATATTATCACTGAAGTTCATTATATATTAAGATTTTCTTAGTTTTCACCTAATGTTCTTTTTCTGTACTAGAATCTCACTCAGAACATCATGTTATATTTAGTTTTCATATCTATTTTCCTCTTGGCTGTGATAATTTTCAAACTTTTTTTGATGACTTTTATTTTCAGGAATTTTAGGATTTTTAGGAATACTAGTCTAGGCTGTCCCTCCATTAAAATTTGATGTTTTGCTGGGTGTGATGGTGCATGTCTGTAATCTCAGCAGCTTGAGAGGCTGAGGCAAGAGGAATGAGAATTCAAAGCCAGCTTTAGCATCTTAGCAAAGGCCTAGGCAACTTAGTTAGACTCTGTCTCTAAAGAAAGTATAAAAAAGTGCTGGGGATGTGGCCCAGAGACAAAGCACCCCTGGATTCAATCCCTGGTCCAAAAAACAAAAATTTTAATGTTTTTCTAATGATTAGACTGGGGTTATTAGTTTTTGGGAGGAAGGCCATAGATCTGCTATTTTCATTACATCATATTAAGGATATATATTATCAAAGTACTTTTTAACTGTTGATGTTGACCTTGATCACCTAGGTAAAGTAGTGTTTCTCAGGTTTCTCCACTGTAAAGTTGCTCTTTTTCTCTCCCTATTCCACACTGTTTTCTTCCAAGGAAAGTTGCTAAGTGCTGTCCACATTTCAGGATTGAGGAGTTATGCTCCCTGTCCATTTAGGGTGTCCATTAGTCCGGGTTCTCCAGAGAAACATAACCAGTAGAATACATAGAAAATATGGATATTTCCTTTCAAGAAATTAGCTCATGCAATCATGGAGGCTTGAAAAGCCCAAAATGTGGTTGGGAAAACCGGTTGGCTGGAGATCAGGAAAGAGTGGCAGTTTTGAGGCCAATGACAGTCTGCTGCAGGATCAGGAAAAGTGAGTGTTGCAAATGAAGTCTAAAGGCAGTGTGCTGGAGAGTTCTCTCTTGCTGTGGGGAGGGCATTCTTTTGTTTTGTTTAAATCTTCAACTGATAAAACAAGGCCCATCTATATTAAGGAAGCAATCTTCTTTACTCAAAGTCCACCGATTAAAATGTAAATCTCATCCAGAAACATCCTTGAAGCAATACCCAGAGTGCTTGATCAAAATAGTATGTAAAATGAACCACCCCAAATATCTACATAATTTAATTGAAAGGCTTATGTGTATGAGATTTGCCTCTTCTATCTTATTTACTAATTTATTCAGTAATTTATATCTACATGTACCCATGGATATTTATTTTATATTTTGGGCCATAATTCAATACTTTTAAAAAAATTTATTTTGTTTTTCTAGCTTAGGCATTGGGAGACACTTCATTTACTTAGTGCCTAGTGTTTGGTGATTTTCCTGTTTTGTTTTTGATTTTTAGTATGTTTCCATAATGGTTAGAGGGCACTATGTGATTTTAATGATGGTAAATTTGTTGAGGTTTGTTTTACATCTCAGTGTGTGGTCTATCTTGGTATATGTTCCATGGACATTTGTAAAGAATGGGTATTTAGTTGTTGAGTGAACTGTTCTAAACATGTTCAGTAGAATCTCTTGGTTGATGAGGTTTTTGAGTTCTTCAATATTCTTGTTGATATTTGGCATGTATAGTTGTGTCCACCTATGATAATGTAAATCTCTCTTTTGTTTTCACTCTGCATTTGTGTAAGTTTTTACTTTATATATTTTGGACCTCTATTGTTTGGTATTACACATTTAGGGTCATGATATGGGGTTTTATTATATTTTTTATATTTATTTCATCTGTTTTTCTGTTGGAAATTTCTATTATTTTTTTTCTGCCAATTCACTGGTTTCTCTGTCCCCTTCTCCATTCTGATGTTGATCTCACCTATAAGCTTTTTAATTTTTTTTGGGGGTGGGTACCAAGGATTGAACTCAGGGGCACTTGACCACTAGCCACATTCCTAGCCCTATTTTTTGTATTTTATTTAGAAACAGGGTCTCACTGAGTTGCTTAGTGCACTGCTTTTGCTGAGGCTGGCTTTGAACTTGCGATCCTGCTGTCTCAGCCTCCCAAGCCGCTGGAATTACAGGCACGCACCACCATAAGCTTTTAAAGAGGTTTTTGGATTTTTCAATGATAATATTTCCATTTTGTTCTTTACATCTTCAGTTTCTTTGCTGAGTCTATTTTTCCTTTCATTTCAATAATGTTTCTACATTCTTTTTTAAAAAACTCTCATTGTCAATCTTTCTTTCTTCCTTTTTTTTAGTTATTGATGGACATTTATTTTATTCATTTTTCTTGAAATATATGACAGCTTTGAAATCTTTGTCAGATAATTCTAACTTTTTGTTATCTTGATTATGGGCATCTGTTGATATCTGTTTTTTTTTTTTTGAGAACTTCTGGTCCTTGGTATAATTAATTATTTTCTGTTGAGACTTGGACATTTTTGTATTGAGGTTTTGGAGTCTGGGTCTTATTTAAACATTATATTTTAGCTGACTTTTCCTGATAGCATTTCAGCAGACGAAAGGGACACTGACATCCAGGTTGATGCAGACTGGGCTCATTGACACCTGATAGGAGAAGACTCCTTGCTACATCTGGATGGAGATAGGATTACAGTGTTCTTGTGGTCTCCATTGGCCCTTAATTTTAACACTACACACTATTTTAAAAGATATTTCCTTATATTGCACCTATATCCCTCTCTTCCCAATAAAGGAAAAGTCTGGAGCTGTTGCCCAAAGAATTGGAAGTCATTTAGTTCCAGTTGCTACTTTATTTCTACTGATGCAAAATCTTGGAATGAGAGTCAGGAGAACTGCTCTAGAATGGAGGCTCATTTGCTGGTGATCAACAGCAAGGAAGAGCAGGTACTTTCTAGGAGATAATGGAGTCATGAGCCTGTCTGATTATTTATACTCTTTTCCTAAAAGGCGGTAGTTTTTATTGTTCTGGGTGTTGGTGCTTTCAAGAAAATATGTAGAAAAGGCTTGCTCAGCCTTTCCATTCATTCCACACCTTGTTCCTACTTCAGTGTAACTAAATTACCCCAGAGAAATTGTGGCATTAAAAATATGCAATGAGGGGTTTAGTGGAAGGATGAATATATTTCTACCTGAAATACCAGCTTATTATTTTAATATGTAAGTGTTTTATGAATTGTTAACTTCTTAGAGAGAGGAATATTAATGTGAATGGGAAATAAAGTTAATTTATGAAGAGTCACAATAAACAATCAAAAATGAATACAAAGAATCTTTGAGGGGGCTGGAATTGTGTCTCAGTGGTAAAGTACTTGCCTGGCATGTGTGTGGCCCTGGATTGGATCCTCAGCACCTCATGTAAATAAATAAATAAAATAAAAGAGATCCATTTACAACTAAAAAATATATTTTAAAAAAAGACTCTTTGAGCGCTGGGGTTGTGGCTCAGTGGTAGAGTGCTTGCCTAGCATTTGTGGGGCACTGGGTTTGATTCTCAGCACCACATAAAAATAAATAAAGTAAAGATCCATTGGCAATTTTAAAAATATTTAAAAAAAGAATCTTTGAAATTATGAAAGGAAAATGATTAGATTTGAAAAAAAATTCTTGTGGACAACTTTGAACAATGCCCTCTCTTAGTGAAAAAAAGAGGGGTATTGAGTCTGAGATGAGAATTCATTATGATCATGGGTAGGAATTGCTTTCATATGTAATGAAAATCAGGGTCATAAGTGATGTCTTTGATCTTGCTTTGCTCAGCTAGAGAAGACCTGCCTTTCTGGGGAACTCCCATGTGGCTATTCCTGGATGCTTTTTCTTTTTCTTCTCATTTCTGTTTGACCTTGAAGAACTCAGTTGAAATATTACACTGTACCTATAAGTAGGTAAAATTTCTACATGTTAAAAAAACTTAAAAAATGTTAAAAGAGATGGAAATGTTAACAACTCTGATTTGATTATTATACACTATACACATGGATCAACTTATCACCCTGTACCCCATAAATTTCTTATATGTATTTTTTAAACACATGAAGCAAATCTTTTAATGCACTCGAACACCTTTTGCTTAAAACTTCAGTTATTATTCCAGTTGACATTCTGAAACTTCAGCCATAAATCCTGATGTTCTTGGTGTTAACCCTTGACCTCAGCCTATGTAACAAAGTAACTTCTCTGAGCCCCCAGCAGAGGAAGGTGTCCCAGCGAGTCCCTGGACAAGGATGGAGGTGGGCGGCGGCCACAGGGTGAGGCTGGACTATATCCTTCTTGGACTCTTTGGATCTTAACCGGGCTGCAGAAGCTGGTTGGTTGTCTTGGCCAAGATCACACCACAAGCAGGTTCAGTCACTTCTTCTCAAGGCCGCAGCATCTCTTTGAAGGCGCTTAGCTTCTGGTAGGCAAACTTCCTGGCGCTAGCACTGCCGCTGTGTCAGCCCTGCCACTGGCAAGATGCTCCATTGCACCTGTGCGGGAGGTCAGGCCTTGGACCTACCCAGAGCCATCAGGCCGCAGGGTCGCCCCGTCACCCCACCACCGAAAGTGTACCCATAAATTTGTATAATTAAAATACATTAAAAAAATCTAAACTTACAAACAACAACAACAACAACAGGAACTTTGTTTTGCTGAGTACTTTTCCTTTGTTTTTGTTCCCCTTAGGATTTTATCATTCCAAATCTGCAAATAGATGCGGTTTATGATGTGGGCCTGTCAGATCCAGAGTGTCAGAGACATTGGCAATGGGTCATTGGGACACCTTAGGATCCGAGTGCCATGTGAGTATTGAATTAGATAAAGGCAGGGTCCTAGATCTGGCAGGGTATGTAGGTTGTCCAATATCAGTTATGAAACTAAAACTAAAACAGCTTACTCTCTTGTACTGACTGTAGAGCACAGGATTAAGAAATTCTATTGTCATTTAATCATCACAAGAAACTTATGAGACACATAGGTTATTATTTTTTCCACTATAGAGATGAGGCAAATTGTTTTTGGAGAGTATAGATAGTTCAGCTAAGGTCACCCAACAATGGTCCTCAAATCCAGGTATGTTCTGCATTGATTTTTAACTATTTGTAGTTCTATAATAAAATTCTTGTTAAGATCAAAATTGATGAAGCTTTAATGTTTCTCATAAAAAGCAAGAAGCCTAAATTCTTGTACTTTTATAATATCTCATATTTATATAATCTTAAAAAACTCTTAAGTTCTTCAGCATATTTCCACCTTTGATCTTCATATCTAGTTTGTGAAACATATAGTACTTTTATTGTACTCCCCAATTATTAGATGGGCAAACTGAGAATTGAGGAAATTAAATTATTTGTCCAAGAAGACAAGAATAAGTAGAGGATTTATAGATTTTAACTAGTTCTTTAGACTCCAAAATCATTCCATTAAGAAGAAGAAAAAAAATACTATTTACATGGGACTATGGTGACATCTCTTCATTATATAAGAAAGCCCTATGGATTGACAGTCTCCTGGCAACAGGACCTATGGATGCACAAACTGAGGAGAAACTGGGATATTCTTTCGGAGGATTTTTTTTGGGGGTACCAGGGATTGAACTCAGGGGCACTCGACCACTGAGACACATCCCTAGCCCTATTTTTTTTTGTATTTTATTTAAGAGACAGGGTCTCATTGAGTTGATTAGAGCCTCGCTTTTGCTGAGGCTGGTTTTGAACTCCTGATCTGACTGTCTCAGCCTCCCGAGCTGCTGGGATTACAGGTGTGCACCCATTGCACTTGCTGGGAGGATGTTTAATGCATTAAGGTATAAGAATACTTAGTGATGTAGGCACAGTTTTCAAGGGGAATACTAGAGGGGATGGTGGAAGAGAAACTGCATGAGAAGTGGAGAAGGGTTGTTTGGGGTATCTGTCTCTGATTTTCACAAAATTCTACCCTGGCCTCTGGCCCTTTTACTGTCTCTAACCCTTTTAAAAATACTATTGGAAAAAAAATTCTTTCATATTTTTTCTCTCTTTCAGATTCTGGCATCTAGTCACAGACAAGAGCAATGTGTTACACTAACTTTCTATCAAAATACAGGATGGAACTTGAATGATGTGGTTTGTCAGCATGATTCTAGGTCAGTTTGTGAGATGATGAAGATCTTCTTATGAATCAAAATATTCTCAATGTACTTGTGATTGAATGGGTATCTAATATTACAGATATAGATAATAAGTTCTTTACATATAAGAGATATATGTAAAGAACTTATTATCTTTACATATATAGAATTTTAGGTATGTGGTCAACTATTTCACTTATGAGAATATTTTCCACATATTTACTCATTGATTAACATATTCCCTCATTCACAAAGCATTTACTGAGAATTTTGAAAGTGCCAGAAACTATCCCAGAGACCCCTTTTGTGAACACATGGAAGGCACACAGGTCTCTCTGAAAATTTCTTTCTGATTGTTAAGATTTATTTACTGATATATGGTATAGTTCCTCTATTTTCTTTCCCCATCTTTAGCTTAATTAATGTTTAATTGGCAAATAAAATTATATGTATTTTAGAATTTTAGGCTCTGTTTAGTCAGCTTTTTTTGCTGCTGTGACTAAAGGATCTGACCAGAGCAAATATAGTAGAGGAAAATTTTATTTGATGGCTCATGGTTTCAAGGGTCTTAGTCTATAGAAGGCTGGCTCCATTTCTCAGGGCTCGAGATAAGGCTGAACATCATGGTGGAGTGTGTGGTAGAGGGAAGCAGCTCACATCACGGTGATCATGAAGCAAAGAGAGAGACTCCAATCTCTAGATACAAAATATATCCCATAGCCACACCCCCAGTTAATCACTTTCTCCAGCCACACCTTACCTGCCTCCAGATACCACTTAGTTAATTCCATTGGGGATTAATTCACTGATTGGGTTAAGACTCTCACAATCCAATAATTTTCTCCTCTGAACCTTCTTGCATTGTCTCACACGTGAGCTTTTGGGGGGCACCTCATATCCAAACTGTTAACAGGCTCCATATTCATTTTTATAGTTGCTTTTAAAAACAAATAAAACAGTTGTATGTAATGCCTGTAATCCCAGCTGATCATGAGGCTGAGGCAGGAGGATTTTGAGTTCAAAGACAGCCTTAGCAATTTAGCAAGATCCTGTCTTTAAATAAAATATAAAATGGGCTGAGGATGTGGCTCAGGGGTTAAGCAACCCCAGGGTTCAATCCCTGGAACAAAAACAAAAACAAAACAAACAAACAAAAAAACCCCAAATAAACCATAAGACAATAAATCTTCATTTTTAACTGTTTTGGCCAATCTGCCATTTAGTAAATGGAAGAGGAGGAAGAAATTCTGGAGCATGTCCAATACTGAGAAAAATATGTTTGTACATTGGAGTTATGGGTCATCAACCTGAATGATTTTTCTAAATGTAGAAATCTGCTGACACTTGACAACCCTTCAGGGCCCATATGATCTTCATTTTGTTCAGATAATCTTAGTACTGAATGTTAATAGTTTTTTCTTTGCCTACATAGAAGTCAACAGTGTATATTTACTGGGGATAAACACAGTGACTCAAGGAGAGAAGAAACAGTAAGATGCAATCCAAATGTGTTAAACCAATGTTCATCTGAGGGTTTGAGGAAATATTATGTATACACAATTAAGTGGTTTGCAGCAGTTAAGAATGTTGCAAATGAGATTTCATGAGGAACCAATATTGAGGATTGTGGTTCATGTTTATCCATACCTTTTCCTCACAAAAGTTATTCCAACAAAAGTTCAATGTTGTTTAATGTCACTTTCCTTGGTGAAGCTCAGGTGATTTGGGCTGCTGATTTCACATTCAGCTCTGTGGGTAGATAGTGATTAACTCAAGTTATCAAAACAATCACAATAGTGGCTGGGTAGGAACATCATGAAATGCAAATCCTGCCAACAAATTGCTTTCAGAGGAATCAGGGAATGAATCTCTCTCTCTTTTTAATTTTTTATTTGTTTTAATTAGTTATACTTGATAGTAGAAGATATGGGAATTGAACTCAGGGGCACTCAATCACTGAGCCATATCCCTAGTCCTATTTTGTATTTTATTAGAGACAGGGTCTCACTGAATTGCTTAGTGCCTCCCTAAATTGCTGAGGCTGGCTTTAAACTCAAGCTCCTCCTGCCTCAGCCTCCCGAGCACCTGGGATTACAGGCCTGAGCCACCACCGCTGGCCAAGTTTTAGAATGATAGAAACACTGTGAATGCCAGAATAAAGTCATGGAAAGGACCTGGTTTATTAAATGCTTTGTTCAGTCACTGAATTGACTACTTCTAAAGCACAGCTTATTCTTAATTTTTATTATGAAAACTAAGAAATATTCTAGTTATTTTGCATATAAGTTCTGTATCATGTTTGTGATTTTCAAATATTGTCTTCTAGTCTGTGCTTTATAATTCCATTCTCTTGACATTGTCTTTTTAGAACAGAGGTTTTAAATTTTTCTGGATTGTAACTTATCACTTTTTTTTCAAGACTTTTGGTTTTGAACCTTAGAAGTCACTGCAAAACCCAAGACCACCTCAATTTTTTCTCTCTCTTATATCCCAGGGGTTTTCTCTTTGTGTTTCATTTAGGCCAATATTTCATTTGAGTTATTTTTTGAAAATATTATATCTATGTCTATATTCTTTTTTTTTTTAAATGTAGATTTCCAGTTATTTTAGCACCATCTTTGGTGTGAAAATCTATCATTTCTTCATTGGATTGCCTTTGCTCTCTTGTTGAAAATCAGTTGTGTTTATTTCCATACTCTATTCTGTTCCCTTGATCCATTTGTCTTTTATGAATTCCACACTGTCTTGATTATTATAGTAAGACTGACAGTGTCAGCCCTCCAACTTTATTCCTCTTCAAAATTATGCTGTCTGTACAATTTTTTGAATCAGTTTGTTGATATCCAAAAGAGTAGTTTTCTGGGGTTTTGGTTGAGATTGAATTGAATACAGATCAAATTGGAAAAACAAACAAACGAACCCCCCCCAAACTCCCCCAAACTGGTGCCTTAACATTATTTAGAAATCCTTTCCATGAACATGGAATATCTTCCTATTTGTTTGTTTATTTATTTATTTAGTTAATGTTTCATTAAAGTTTTGTGTTTTCCCCCATAAAACCTTGTACATATTCTGTGACATTTATATCTAATTATTCTTTTTGGTATGCGTAATGTTGTGTTTTTTTTCTTTGTTTTTTAAATTGACAGACTGTAGGTACTTCTTATGTACAACATGCTCTGAAATGTAATAATTAAGTCTAGATAATTAACTGTGTTAGCTTTTCATTGCTGTGGCTAAAATAATAACAAGAACAACTTAGAGGAGGAAAAATTTGTTTTTGGTTAACAATTTTTTTAATATCTATTTTTTTTAAAAGAGAGAGTGAGAGAGGAGAGAGAGAGAAAGAGAGAGAGAATTTTTAATATTTATTTTTTAGTTCTCGGCAGACACAACATCTTTGTTGGTATGTGGTGCTGAGGATTGAACCCAGGTCACATGCATGCCAGGCGAGCCCGTTACCGCTTGAGCCACATCCCCAGCCCTTGGCTAACAATTTTAAAGTTTCAGGCTATGGTTGACTGACATCCTTGCTCTGGGCCCAAAGTGATGGCAGAACATTACAGTGGAGAGGTGTGTGAAGGAAATTTTCTCAGCTCCTGGCCTCCAGGAATCAGAGAGAGAAAGGAGATGTGGTTAAGCTAACTATTTTTTTTTTTTTTTTTAGCTTCTGTTACTTGCTTGCTTACACGATGATGAGAAAAGCCCCTGATTTGTTGTTTTCATCCTTATATTCCCAAGACACAGGCCAGGAAATTGCTGTTCTCCCACAGAGCATCAGTCTCTATGAATGGGTGACAGCCCCTGGCCACATAAATAAAGCTCTCTTTTGTCTGAATTCGGACTTAGAGTGTTTTCCGAGGCAGCTCCCCATGACAGTGAGAGGCAAGTCCTCCCATACTTGCTCCTCTGTCTTGTGTCTGCTCCTCTGAGTTGCTGGGTTTTTGCCTGTCAGAAAAAACTTCTGGGGAGAGCCCTGAGTGTTGTCCACAGAGTTGAGCAGTGAAAGGGCCTCCTGGAGTCCCCATGTATGCAGGCACACCTGCCTTTTTGTCCTGTTGGTTTCTGAACAGAGACTTTCCTAAGAATCTCTGTATGGTCAATGTGACCTTAACTGGACAGGGAGCCCCAGACATACAAAAAAACTTCAGTAGGCAAACGGGGCAATTGACATAAACCCCTTGCAGCTAGTTGATATTGCTTTTCAGGTGTGCAGTGCCTGGGAGGAACAAAAACTAAAGCCAACTCCAACAAACTTGGATCTTCAAGAAAGCCTAAAGAAAAGAATGGGAAGGGCTCCTTCCATTGAAAATCAATATGCCTACTGAGAAAGAAAGGTAAGAGAGCCTGTTGGGTATAACTGAAAATGAATAACTCATGTAAAGTTGATGCACTGTGATAACGAGAAGAGTGATAAGTCAGGCTCCAACCCCTTGAATGCACACTGGGAGAAGAAAGATGATTAACTTTTTTCTACATGTCATATTGTCCAATCCCTCTCCTGGGAAGAGATTTGTTACATACATTAGATAGTCAGATAACATTCTCCCCCCAAAAGTGATACCAGTTTTGAAAATCAGGATAAGGTCCTTGTTCCCCAGGTGTTGAAAATTAAACACCCCAAAAATGCCAAGGCAAGAGCAGAAAGCAAAGTTTATTTAAGAAACAGAAGAGACCTTCCTGTGGAGGTGGGCATGGAACTCTGGTGAGCAGGCTCAGAGGGGATGAGAGGGCCTGACTTTCTCCAGCAAGTTATACTTTAACCATTAATTCTTTAGGAAACCTCCCCAAAACTCCTTCGTTGGACAAAGCCTTCAGTTATACACTCTATAACACTGTCTACCTCCTTCATGTTATAAAATTTTCATTTGTGTGAATATTCTTGAGTACATACTCCCTACTGGTCCACAGGCTTCCTGAGAAGACAGAGTATGTGCAATTTTGATCAAAGTGTTTTTGGAATTTACCTTGTACCCTCTGTATATTAAATGCATGGTAAATCCATGTTGAATAAACTTAATAAATGAATAAAAGAAAAGAAACATAAGAGTGAGGGTGGGGTGGTGAGGGCAAGAGGGGGGAGAGAGAGAAAGAGAGAGAGAAAGAGAGAGAGAGAGAAAGAGAGAGAGAGAGAGAGAGAAAGAGAGAGAGAGAGAGAGAGAAGTGAGTGTGTCGGTCTATCCTGTGGAGAGAAGGGGGTCCGGAGCTGGTGCCTGAGGGAATGGGGGTGTCTTGCTCCTTTATAGATTTTAGGTTTTCTTTCTTCTCTTGCCCCTCCTCCCATTGTGCCTCTGTGACCAAAAGGTGACCAAAAGACAGGAAGTATGTGATTGCTACAGGGTGTGATTGCCTGTGTTGGGAAATACCATTCTTCCCCTGGAAGCTGTTAGCACCCTGGTGAGAGGTGATGGGAGGTGCTATCTACCCATCTCTTTTTCTTTGATAATTAGCTACCTTTGCCCTATCTCAAAGGTAACAACTCTTGTTGCAAGTGCCACCAGAAACATGCTCTGATTCCAGCTTTCACTTGCCACCCAGGAAAAGGAAGCTGAGCCTGTTCTGCTAGAGGTGTGCTAAACAGTGAGTAAGGCTGTGTGGGCTAAGGGACCCTGGAAAGAATGATCAGGTTTTCCCAGCCAGACTTTTGCTTAAGGAGGAGGTAACTTGTCCCAAGAAGAAACAATAGTCCTCCCTTACCTTAAAATAGAAGCATCACTAGTGATCCAGAGTCTTTTGGGTACATTTTTAAAAAACATATTGAGTTAGCTTTACCAGTTCCCCTACAGAATTCCAATCCTGCCTGTGTAAAATACACATGCACATGCACACCCCCCACCTCCAACAACAATGACATATACCTCCAACAACAAAATAACCCCATCACATTATGGGTAATGATTTGTTCAAAGCCTGAGAGCTCTATATAATGTTGTTTAGTATATTTAGCTCTGTTTTAGTCAGAATTTTTGTTGCTGTGACCAAAAGACCTGACAAGAACAATTAGTGGAGGAAAAGTTTATTTGGGGGTCATGGTTTCAGAGGTCTCAGTCTCTGGCTCCATTCCTCAGGGTGGGAGATGAAGCAGCTCATCATGATGGAATAGTGTGGAGGAAGAAAGCAGGTGGGAACCTGGCACCAGGAAGGAGAGAGTGAGGGGGAGAGACTGAGAGCTCCCTGTGTTCAACAAGAAAACAAATTAAAAATCCCAAAAGCATGCCCCCAGGGACCCACCTCCTTCAGCCACACCTTACCTGCCTACAGTTACCAGTTAATCCCTGTCACAGGACTAATTCACAGATTGGGTTAAAGCTTTCATAACCCAGTCATTTTACCTCCAAATCTTCTTGCATTGTCTCACACATTAGATTGTGGGGGACATCTCATATTTAAACCATAATAAACCCATAGTACCAAATCACTTATACCCTGCTGACTACAGTGCCAGGTAACCATGGCTCATTTAATAATGCCAGATTTAAAGGATGTATTCTTTTGCATCCCACTAGAAAGAAATTCCCAATTACTGTTTGCTTTTGAAAGATAGGACCTCAGTACCAAATTAACCACCCAGTTTATTTGACTGTTTTACATCAGGGACTTAAAAACCTCACCTACTCTGTTTAATGAGAGTCTAGGAAAAGACCTGTGAGGGTTACAGATGGATCCACGAATTCTTTGTAATATGTGGATCATCTACTTATGGCCTATCTTGACTATGAACACTGCATTTCAGTCACTATTGCTGTACTAAACCACCCTGCCTCATGTGGATATTAGGTATCCATTAAAAAGGCTAAGTTTTGTAAGTAAGTCACCTATCTGGGATTCCAGATTAGCCAACAAACCCAAAGTTTGATGTCATATCCAAAGCAGCCTATTTTTATGTATTTGTTCCAGTTTAGTTATACATGACAGCAGAATACATTTTGACTCATTGTATACAAATGGGGCAACTTTTCATTTCTCTGGTTATACATGATGCAGAGTCACACCATCCGTGTAATCATACAAATACATAGGGTAATAATGTCTGTCTCATTCCACCATCTTTCCCACTCCCATCGATCTCCCTTCCCTTCATTCCCCTCTTCCCAAACCAAAGTTCCTTCATTTTTCCTTGTCCCCACTTTCCATCCCCTCATGGATCAGCGTCTACATATCAGAAAACATTTGGCCTTTGGTTTTTTGGGATTGGCTTACTTCACTTATTATAGTATTCTCTAACTCCATCCATTTACCTGAAAATGCTATAATTTCATTCTTCTTTAAGGCTGAATAATATTTCATTGTGTAACCACAGTTTCTTTATCAATTCAACCGTTGAAGGGAATCTAGGTATATACGTTGGTTCCACACTTTAGCTATTGTGAATTGAGCTGTTATAAACCTTGGTGTGGCTGTGTCAGTATAGTATGATGATTTTAAGTCCTTTGGATATAAACTGAGGAGTGGGATAGCTGGGTCAAATGGTGGTTCTATTCTAAGTTTTCTGAGGAATCTCCATACTGCTTTCCAGAGTGGTTGTACCAATTTGCAGTTCCACCAGCAATGTATGAGTGTGCCTTTTCCTCTACATCCTTGCCAACACTTATTATTGCTTGTATTCTTGATAATTGCCATTCTGATTGGAGTGAGATAAAATATCAGTGTAGTTTTTATTGGCATTTCTCTGATTGCTAGAGATGATGAACATTTTTTCATATATTTGTTGACTGATTCTATTTCTTCTTCTGTGAAGTGTTCAGTTCCTTAGCCCATTTATTGATTTTGCTATTTGGTTTTTTGGTGTTAGTTTTTTTAAGTTCTTTATATACCCTGGAGATTAGTGCTCTATTTGGGGTGTGTGTGTTGAAGATTTTCTCCCATTCCAAAGCAGGCTCTCTTGAATCTTAGAGAAGCCAGGAACCAGAGACAGTTATATGGGTTCCTGAGAATGTTAAGATTTTGCCATATTTGGGTACCTAATAGTTAACCCCCATATAAGACCTTGAAAAGAGCAGGAATTAAATCTTTCACTTGGACCCCAGAATATCAAACTACCTTTGAGAAGTTAAAACAAACTCTCATTACAATCTCTGCCCTAGGTGCCTAATTTACAAAAGGAATTTAGATAAAGTACAGCACACAAAACTCTTTTATGGACATTTGGAGACATACTGTGACTAACAGCCTATTTGTCAAAATAGCTTGACCATTACAGCAAAATGATGACTAATGGCTGACTACTGGGAGGATGGAGAGCTACCAGGCCATCCTATCAGGAAATTCAAATGTCAACCAGTACAAAAACAGTGCCCCCCATCTCAACACCTATTTCCATCTTAAACCCAGCAACCCTGTTGCTAGCAAATGATAATGAACCAATACAACATGACTCAGAGATCTTGTAGATAGATGATAGCAGGTTGGATTTGCTAGATCAAACTATCACTGAGCTAGACTGGGACCTCTTTACCAATGAGAGCAACTTCATGGGCAATGGTCAGCAGGTAGCTGGATAGCTATGGTCTTAGAAACAGAAGCTTTGCTGCTGAAAACATCAGCCCAGAAAGCTAAACTAATTGCTCTGACAAGAGCCCTCAGATTGTCCAAAAGAAAGAAGGTAAACATTTATACTGACTCAACATATGCTTTAATGATGGTACATGCATATGGAACTATCTGGAAAGAAAGATGACACCTCACTGCTGAAAACAAAGACATTAAGCATGCCCTTGAAATCCTGATGCTAATACAGACTATGGCTGAGCCAAAATAAGTGGCAATCATATACATTGACCTTGACATCAGAAGGTTGATAATCATGTGGCCAAGAGAAATTAAGCCACTGATAGTGCAGCCAAAAGGGCCAGAAAGGAAAAACTGATTTTTAAAATTTTTTTTAGTGCATTATAGTTATACATAATATTGGGATTCATTTTGACATAATTATACAAGGATGAAATATAATTTGTTTTAATTTCATCCCCTGTGATTCTCCTTTTCCTCCTTTGTCCCCCTGTTCAATTTCCTCTATTTTTCTAGCCTTTGTTCTATTTATTTATAGTTTTTTTTTAAAAAATTAGTTCATTATAGATATACTTAAAGATGAAATTCATTGCAGCATATTTACATATGTACATAGGATAGTTTGGTTAGTTTCTTTCCATTCTTCTCTTTTCTCATTCCACCTCCCCATCCAACCCCTTCCTCTACTTCACTGATTTCTCAGTGAAGATTCATGGAATCTCCTCCCTCTTCCCCTCCTTTTGGTCTAGTTTCTGCATATGTGAGAAAACATTCAAACTTGGACTTTCTAAGTCTGGCTTATTTCATTTAGCCAGGCCCAGTTCAATCT